GGTCGGCGGTTTGCTGCTGGTGAAGCTCCCGCGACCGGCGCTTGAGGTCGGCCTCGCGCTGCCTCTGCACGTCGGCAATGTGCGCAAACTCGTCCTTGGACGGCGTCACCAGCGAGTCCAGGTACTCCTGGTGACGCCGAGCGGCGCCAAAAGAAGCCTGCGAGGTGGCGGTTCCCGGCCTGGCAAGCCGTTCAGGTTGAGGTTCAGGGGGGTGCTGCGCAAAGTCGCCGCTTGGTGGTGGGGGTGGGGTTGGAGGGGTGACGCCGGCCGCGGGCGGCTCTAGCTTGGCAGTGTCGTTATCCATCGATCGAGTCTTCGTCTGCCTGAGGGGATGAGAATGGAACTGGACCTTTGTCGCACAATGTCGCGGTTGTCTAAAAAAAACAAAAAACAAAGGACAGCGACGGGTTATCCGGGAGGAGAGCTTGATGCAGATCCTATAGGACGCATGCTGGTTCGTGTGCACCGCCGGTTAACCCGATGCGCGCGATGGAGGAGGGGAGGGAGGGGAGGGGTCCATTCAGCTAATTGTCGTTGGCGCCTGCGCCCGCCCGCCCCGCGACGACATGCGAAGCTCGAGAACGGGCGGGCTGAGTGTGAGCATGGCGTGGCGTGCCGTCCGGCCTTGGCATTCCAAGTTTTGGACAGTTCTGCACATAACTTTCTACGACGTCCAAGTAGCACCACTCAATTCGCCTGCCCGTCAGCGTCATGGCGGTATATTGACAAGTGATTATTACCTTATAATACAACTTTTAGCCTGCAAAAGGGATGGGGGTGGGGAGGGGACGGGTACGCTGATTTGCGGGGATTTGGGTTCTGATCTAACTTGAAGGCAACACACTCTCTCAGCTTACTGCGTAACGCCGGTGGCTGCTTATCTGCGAGTAAACACGTAAAACATTTGAAGCACTGATGATAAGCCACCCGAGATAAGATATCGTGAATATACCCAAAGACAATATTGGAAACCTCTGCGAGCTGCCATCCTTTCCACAGTATTATCACATTATACTCCCCTGTCTTGGACCACAATCCGACACAGTTCTCCCCTGAGAAGATGCCTAAGCCGCAAACATGGTCGACGCCGAAACAGCCTCCCACTCGTCGAGCAGCGCCAGCGTCTTGGCGCACTTGTCCCTGACGACGGTGAGCGCGTCGGTGCCGAGGACGAGGCGGACGGGCACGGGCCGGCCGTCGGCGGCGCCCGACCTGGTGAGCACGTCGACGATGGCCACGGCGCACTTGTCCACGTCGCCCGGCTGGTTGCGGTTGTACGCGTTGAGCGCCCCGCGCGTCGCCGCCACTGCCGTGCCATCGTACACGTCCAGCTGCCGCGCCGTTACTATCCGGTGGTCTCCTCCTCCCCCGGCGCCGTTGCCCTGTACTAGGAATCCAGTCCGCGTGTACCCCGGTTCCACCACGCACACGTCGATGCCAAACGGCGCAAGCTCCTCGGCGAGGCCCTCCGTCATGCCACTCACTGCCCATTTGGTGCTGCAGTCTTTTGTTTTAAAGCCAGAACGTTAGCAAACTGGCTTGAGAGTTTCCGAAGCAGATAAAATCCCCCCCAAAAAAAACTCACAGTGCGCCACGGCCGGCCCCGAGCCCCAGCTGCCGAGGCTCCCGAACGTGGCGAGCGCCGCCTGGTGCCTGCCGCCGGCCTCGGACGCCGCGGCGCGCAGGTGCTTGGCGGCGGCGCGGGAGACGTTGAACGTGCCGAGGACGTTGGTGTTGAAGAGGGCCGCGACCTCGCGGGCGCTGGCCTCCTCGACGGCGCCCTCGAGGATGTAGCCGGCGCAGTTGGCGACGTGCGTGATGCGCCCATACACGGCGGCGGCGGCGGCCAGCTTGCCCGCCAGCACCTCGTCGTCGCTCGTCACGTCCACGTCCAGCACTGCCGCGCCCGCTGCTTTGAGCCCGCCCAGCTTGGAAGAGTCGCGCGCCGACGCGACTACCTTGTGGCCGCGCCGCAGCGCCTCGTGCGCGATGGCCTCGCCGAACCCGCTCGACGCCCCCGTGATGAACCAGACGATGTCGCTCATTGTTGTGGTGTTCTGTGTGTCCGTGTCTTGTGTCTAGTGAGGTTTTAGGAGGTGAATAAGACGAGGTTCTTCGGTATATAGTTAAAAAACGATGATATCTCGTGGTGATGATGATGGTGATGATGATGATGATGATGATGATGATGATAATGAGCTCGACTCAGACCCCCTGAGGCGAGCGACCACTCTGGTCTTTATAGACCTTGGTTCCATCATGTCTGTCTGCTAATTCCATTTCGCCGACGTGTTGCTAGAATAAACTCCGGTGCCAAGCTGGATTTCTTGTTTGGAGACAGCTGGAGTCCGAAGGAATCGCACTACGTAGCACTGGCCGTCGGCGATTAACAGCCGGTGGTGCGTCTGCTTATCTCCGAACGTCTGCTTGGGACCCAAACCCCGCGTGAGAAAGTTACGAAGCTCCGCGGGATTCATTTTCAACCCCGATTCCCAGCGAAATCGCTGTCTAGAATCCGGCGTCAATTTGAGCTGGATTAGAAACACCACTGGGCATGAAAGACCCAGAATGTCTTATACGGTGCCTGGTACTTCCATCGCTAGTGGTTTGTGTAGCTTGAGCCGACCTTTTTTAAAAAAAAAAATTTAATTATTTATTTCTGATTCATCAGCTCGGAATGAAACCGAAGAGGCTCGCACATACCGGCATGCCATGTCATATGCCTCTCGAGAGCAGAAGAGTCGCGGTCACAGGGCGATGAGCACCGCAAGTCAATTCTCAACCAGAACTCAACCTACGGATACTCACATCAGAAACGCAAACAGAAAGGGACGCGCCAGGGCTGTACTGAATAGGTAGCATCAATGGATCCGCATCTACGTCTAAGCAGCGTGAGATTATCCAATACTATTAGAATTACTACCGAAGAAGAAGAAGAAGAAGAAGAAAAAGAGAAGAAACAAAACGAAAAAAAAAAAATGGGAACACAAGTAGTTAGGTACAGCGAATGCAATGCGTGCTAGAGAAAAAAATAAAATAAAGAAGAAAAATACTGGCATTAATCCTCCAGAGCCGCCGGCGGGAATTTCGGATCGGGGTCATGGGACGGAACGGTTAAGCACAATCATGAGAAGAGAAACTCCTTCAGGACGGGAGAGCCTGAGAACTCCGGGTTTAAGAGTATGCAGCTTCGTGTAGTGAAGACGATGTTAGTGGATTATCCGCCTCTCTGGTTTACCATATCATCCAGGAAGGGGTTGAAAGGGTATATTAAGAAGGGAAAAGGAGGGTTGATGTCGCTTGCATCAGCCAAGGCACGGCTAGGTAGGTAGAACAAAGCCACTTCCCACTCACTTTAGGAAATACTGCAGACCAGCCCGCCTCTTCTCGAGGAAGCGCGGCTTAAAGTTTGAGAGGATGCTCTTGGGCGGCAGGACCGGCACGGCGGCCTCGAAGCCGGGGAACGTCTGCACGAGCCGGCGGCGCAGGTCGTCAAACTCCGAGTACCGCTTCCGGATGTTCATGTGAGAGCCCTGGAGTTGTTTGCGGGGTTAGAGGTTTTGGGACTCTCTTGTTGACTGTGTGTGCGATTGATTGCGGAGAGAAGAGGGAGTAACTCACATTCAGCGTCTGGACGCGAATATTCCACACGACAAACGCGCCAATGTTGGTGGTGCTGCCGTTGACCATGACCGAGTCGGTGATCTCGACGCTCTTGGCCCAGCAGGCGCGGTTGCGGTCGCGGCCGATGACGTTGGCGGCGCGCCGGTTTTGGTCATCATCGTCGTCGTCGCACTCGTTGTCCTGCAGCGTGATGGCCCCCGCGGGTAGCACGCTCTCGACCGACACGTTGGACACGGTCCGGCCGTGCCCGTGGGCCCAGTACGGCGGCGACGTCACCGACGGCGACGTCATAGTCTCGGAGCCCGAGCCGATCCCGTCTTCCGAGCCGCCGCCGCCGTGGTTGTTACTTCCTCCATGGCCGTTCCCGTTGACGTGGAGGTAGTGGTTATCGGCGCTGGCGGTGGTGGCAGCAGAGGAGTCATCGTCGTCGCCGTCGTCGTGGCCCAGAGAAGGGAATCCGAGCTGGTGTTGGTGCTGGTGCTTGCCCACCGCCGCTGCGATGCGCCCCCCGGCCTTTCTGCTTTCCTCTTTCCAATCTGTCGACACAGTCAGAGGAGCAGCATTAAAGTCTGTGAAGCTTCGGCTGGTGCGTGGTTCGTCGAAGGCGGTATCGGCGTTGTTTCCGCCGATGCTGCCGGTGGGAGCTGTGGGTTGGCCATGGTGGTGTTCAATCTCTGACGCCATTCACGCCATCTGGGGGTGAGGCAGGGCACGCCTCGTCCACCGCGAGCCCGTATTCTCCTCCTGGATTGTGTCGGCGCTGTTGCTGCTGGGCGCACGCGTGAGAGGCTCTGGCAAAGTGAAGGAATTGGTAAGTGCAGCAGAGCTTTGCGCTTCAATTGCGAGTTGCGACTGGGGCGACTTTGCGAGTGCGATTGCGCTTGCGATTGCGCTTGCGATTGCGGGTTTCTCGGTCGGATTCGTCGACAGTCGTCTCTGGATAATAAAAGCAAACAATTCCTTCGGGCTCTGTAATTCTGTGTTTGCGCAAGGATTCGATAATGCAAAACAAGAGCAAAGGGCTTCGACTAATAATAATCAGAACAAACAACACCGACGTGCGAGCGCACAAGAGAAGCACGAGACGATGAGGGTGACGAGGGAGTGTCGCCGCTGGTGGCCGGCTGGCAGCTGCCAGGCGGGCGCAACCAAACGATCGTCATTGCCGCCCCGGCGGGCGGTCCCGCCCCCATCCATCTAAACAGCGCCCGAGCCCCATTGGCCAACCACCAGCCGTCTTGCGGGATCTGACCAGGGCTTCAATAGAGGTACCCTAACCCTGAGAGATAAGATATGGTTACTGTAAGTTCCAGTTCAAGTATCACGGATACAGAGCCAGTCTCCATCAACAGACTCTCGAGAGTACGAGCTTGTCAGGGCTAATGGTCTAGTGGTTTGATTTCTGTTTAGCAATGAACCTTTCATCGCCTCTACAGACGGTCCCGCGTTCGATCCGCGGTTAGTCCAAATCACAAGCAACACCCTGATTTTTTGCCGAGCAGCTTATCCTTCCTTCAACTTGGATAATACTTATTTTTGTTGTTTGACCACACATCCTTGTTGGCCTATTTTCTCGATTTTGGTATTGTTGTTTTTGTCATAGGCCTTCCATCATGTCATGTCACTGCGTCGTTCCCTTTCCTGTTCTTCGTTGTTCCAACCAATAATACCCTGACGCCAAAACCTTCAACATCCCAAAGGATAAATTTCTGAAAACTCCAATGGATGCCCCTTCCAAAGCCCTAGCCCCGACCTGCCACTTATACGCCGCGAAATATCCAGTTGTGTGGTATATGCCTTTACCAAGAAGCCCAGAAAGAAGAGGAGAAGAAAACAACAAAAGAAAAGCCGATTCATCCCGTCATGCACACACGTAGGCATTCGTGACCGTGACTATGTAACATCTCCTGCCCAACTTGGTTACCTACCGCGCATGGTAGTAATATCCACCGTCATAGCCTGCCGGGTCCGGGAGTTCGTGGCGTGGTTGTTGCTCTGGACCATGCCACACCTCCTCCGGCTGTCGCTGCTGCTGCGAGAAACCCAATGGTGCTGGTGCTAGCCCTGTCTCGTGAGAGGCATCTAGCTCGTTTGCACGCTGAGAGGCTTCCAATTCCTCCGCATGATAGAAGCCCTGGCCCGGCCCTTGCAGGGGAGGAGATGGTTGTCGATCCGCTGGGTGATCATCGTAGGAGCCCTGTCTGTAGTGTTGTTGCTGGGGAGCGCCCCAGTGCCCGGCAGCTCCCGGCGGCGCGGCCACTGGATTGCTCCCGTCAACCTCGTACCACTCGGGCGGCGGGCTACCTTGCGCCTCGGCGACGGCTGTCGCTCCGCTTCCCGTCGTCAGGGCCGACTGCCGGTCGCCTTTCTTTGCGGTAGGCGACGGCGTGCCCAGCAGAGTGGTGAACCCGGAACTGCTGCGCTGGTGGTTGCCGCCGCCGCCGCCGCCGCCGCCGCCCTGAGCACCCGGGTGCAGGAATTGTGCCGCATGGTGTTCGGGCGGCGATGGCAAAAACTGCGGGGGTATGGTCGGCAACGTAGGCTCTCGTATGTACGAATTTTCCGGCGGTGGTAGAATGCTGCTGCTGTTGGTGGTGAGAAAGGGACGGCTTCGGCGGCGATGGCGTCGGAAAAAGAAGATGGCAAGCGCCACGACGAGGACGGCGAGAATGCCGCCTCCGACGCCAATGGCTGCGATGGCCGACGTTGAGAGGGCCGACCCGGGGGACGAGCTGGAGGAGGCAGGCAAGGCAGGCGCCGCGGATGAAGAGGTGGCGGGGTCGGTTGTTGTTCTCGTTGTTGGGAAGGTTGGCGGTAAGGTAGGAGTGGCGGTGGTGATAACGGTTGATGGCTGGTGCGACGTGATGGTGAGCGTGGAGGTGACATCGATAGTAGTTTGCGCCGTGAGAACTCTGGAGAGTACAAAGTTAGCAAAGCTCACCGAGTAAAGTGCGCTGTCTGAGCAAGCTACACTATGGTCCTGTAGCTGGTCTTCACATAAGGGCTTGCTGCTCTACGTACCGAGTAATCGTCCTGAAAACGGTTGTCACAACAAGAGAGGTGGTGAATGCGGTGACAGTGGTCGACACAAAATTAGTAACATCGGTCGTCTGAGTGACAAGGCTGGTTATGTACGACGTTGAACTGGCGTCTCTCCGGACTGGGAGTACGTCTTCGATGGCATGATCCAGCCTTATGCCGACCGACGCAAGACCGCGAGAAGCGATATCAGCCCATAGCGACCTCAGAAACCCTCTATGGGGGTGCTGGGGCGGGTCTGGCCGGATATGGCGGACGCCTGCCTCTCTGGCTTTGTACGGGTGCGGATCCGGACCCGGGCCCCCTCGCTTGGCAACGGCGGTCACAGTTGCCCACACGACGTTTGTCTGGGTGGCAGCACTCGAGACGGTGACTTCGACAGTCGACACGACGGTTGACGTATCGATCTGGTTCACCAGCACGGTAGCTGTCTGTGTGGCCGTGTGCGAGACTGTCTGATATATTGTCGAGACCACGGTCACCACAGCCCTGCCCGACAGTTAGTCTTCGAATCATTAGCAGACGGTTTTCTAGCGGTGAGCTTGACATACACCGAAGTCGAAACATCTATGCACTGCCCCTGGGAGCACGTTTGTCCACTGGTACAGCATCCGGTTCCGCAGCACGAGCTTCCACCGCTGCAGCAGATACCGGTGTCGAGACAGCATAGACCACAGTTGGGACAGAACTTGGTCTTGTCATCGAAGCAAAAGTTGGACCCGTTGGCAAGGCAGTCCCTCTTGCTAAGCTCGAGCACCGGTTCCTTGAAGCCAAAGAGTGGCTTGGTTCCTGGGATAGGATCGATCCAGGACTTTGCTAGCCCGATATCGCCAAAAGCAATAGCCGTGGCCGAGCCAGAGCGGTCGTTGTCGACATCCTTGGGTAGTCCGGCGACTCGCCCAAGAGAAGAGAGAGCGAGGCTAAAAAGGAAAAGAGGCAGTAGGCCCCGAATAATAGACATACTGAGCTCTTTTCATGATGCGCACATCGAGGAGCATGAGCGGACGGGAATGCAAGGGGAAAATCGAGTAGCACCCTCCAAGAGCAGGCACTGAATATAGTCGACAGCAGCCGAGCCATGTTATAAACGGTCTGGAGGCAGCTGTGCGGGCAGCCTCACGGCATTGGACAGGACAGTCGAGCAAGACATGGCGGGGGAGCAAGACACGCATTGCGGCCGCAGATACTAGGCGACTTCGCCCCAGCCTGGGGCAGATCCACAGCTCTTACAGCTGGCGATGGAAGAGGCGGCCAACCACCTCCACAGGAACAACCACACGAACAACCACACGACCACCACCCCACCTCGCCTCCCTTCCCACGTATGTATTTACCTGCACGCCATGCCCATGCCGATGTTGATGTTGGATAGCAGCAAGCAACCCGATGAAGGCGTCGGGCTGGAATCCAAGAGTACCTTAGGTACAGAGTAAGACTTGAGACTTGGCGGACAAGTCGCGCCTGGAGCAGCCGCGTCAGTCAGACGCTAGCGCCAGGCGCTGTGACTCGGGCCTTTGCGATGCAAGCCGTCGGGCGACGTGTTGGAGCTTGCCAGCCACATGGTGTCTGCGGCGAGCTTTCATTCGCCGTCCTGCCGGTTGGCTGACCGCCCCCGGCTGTGCAACTGTGCAGCTGTGCTTATCGGGGCCTTAAGAACTGGGCCCTGCCACCACCACCACCACCACTACCACCACCGCCGTCAAAAGCCTTCATCGCCATTCCGCGGAATAGGTACTTACTTTCCTTACGTAAGGAACAAAGTGCGGTTGTTTCTCGACTTGTACCACCGTCACGTCGGCTAACAGCTACCTATGTAATTCATTGGACCGGGCAGAGACAGGGAAATCCTTCCACGCCGCCTCTATCGCAGCTTCGGTGACGGGCGGTCATGACAACCTTGACGTTTCATACAAAATGGAATATCATGTCGAGAAAAGGAGATGGCCCGAGTACGGATGAAAGTGGTGAATTGGAAATTTGCACACATGCGACTTGGGACTTGGACAAGGCGGGAGTTTCCTTGTGACGGGAGGTGGAAGACTGCAAGTGTCCATCCCAGCCTCCCAGGGGAGGTCGGTTGAAGCTGAAAAGCCGCAGGGGCAATGTCAGCCCTGTATTGCTTGGCGCACAGGGGATCCATCCACGCCCGCCCCACACTGCAAGTCAGCGCCCGACGCACTTCAGGTCCATCCATCAGCACTGGAACCTCTGTTCAGATAACACAGAAAAAGGCCCTCGAACCTCTCCCAAACGCACGCGCTGCTGCTTCCCGCGCCCAGAACTGCTCGCCATGGATATTGACGACATCCTCCGCGAAGTCGACCCGACATTCCACGCCATCCCGCAAGAGAAACGCGACCTTCAGGACCTGACACGCGCCTGGGTCGCCGAGAGATGTGCGCCAGAGCTCCTCCAGTACGTGCAGGATACAAAAAGACCCCTCATCCCACGATGGCATCGTGCCCAGACAAAACACCGCTAACCCGTACATCTCTCCGCCTCCAGATGGCCTGCCAACGACCTGTTCGAGCGCGTCAATGAAAACATCAAGCGGCAGATCGAAAAGGTCGAGGAGATGACGGGCGACATGGACCCCAAGACCAACTTCGTGCTCATCGTGCTGCAGACGGAGCTCGAGCGCTTCAAGTACCTCGTCCGCAGCTACCTGCGCGCCCGCATCGCAAAGATCGATTGCCACACGCTGCACTACCTCTCCACCGACGACCTGCGGTCCCGCCTGTCCGAGATGGAGCTCGCCTACGCCACGCGCCACCAGGCCCTGCTCCACAACCACTACCTCTCCTCCTTCCTGTCCTCGTTCCCGCCCGCCCTGCAGAACCTCAACGACACGGCTGGCAACGTCACCATGATCGACGCCCCCGACCTCGACTCGGCCGTCTTCGTCCGCTTGCTGAGAGACACGGCCGTTGAAGCGCGGGACGTCGATGTGGACTCCTCGACGGGCGGCCAGGAGAACGCCATTTATATCTTGCGCTGGTCTGACGCGAAACCCCTCGTTGACGCCGGTAGCGCCGAGCTGGTTTGATTATCGGCCGAGTCGGCCGAGCGGCTCTCATTTGCGAATCGGCACCGGAGTTCGCTTTTGGCGCCGTCTTTCCACTTTCCGGATCGGATGGGTTGACGGGCCGAATCCCGATGCTTGGCACGAACTAGAGCCGAGATCCGCGCCAAGGTCGGCGTCCAGGAACGCGAAATCCTGTCTTAAGTCCTTAACCCCGGCCGCGGTGGAGGCCGGTGCTAATGAAAGCATATTCGGCATCGCGACGCGGACTTAAATCCTTCGGCTCGGCTCGGCCCTAAGCAAAGGTCTGGTGTGTATAAGTGGGAGCAAGTGTCGCTGGAGACAGGCGACTGAAAATCCGATGCTCGGACTTGACCCCCAACTCCTCGCCATCCCATTCAGTTCA